CGCATCTGGCATATAAATATCTTGCGATGCTTGCTAAAACAGTGCCATGTGAACGCCTGTTCTCACTTTCAGGTGACATTGTAAACAAGAAGCGGGCAGCATTATCTCCTGCAAATGTAAACAAACTTGTTTGTCTGAGTGATTGGCTGAACAAGAAGCAGGACTGAGCGGACTTGTAGGCTCTAAAGTTTTACATTGTTTTATTTTTGAATGCAGTTGTTTTTTTGTTCCCAATTCTACATTTGTAAGTTCAACTTTCATGATAAAGAGATTGCACTACAGTACTTGTATGAGGTGAATTGAAAAACATTACTTTCTTTTTTTTTACAGTGCAAATACTTGTAATCAAAAATGAATATAAAATGAGCACTGTACACTTTGTATTCTGTTTTGTAATTAGCAACAGAGGGTCCTGTGGCACCTTTAAGACTAACGGAAGTATTGGGAGCATAAGCTTTCGTGGGTAAGAACCTCACTTCTTCAGATGCAAAACAAATTACATTTGTTTTGTAATTGAAATCAATATATTTGAAAATGTAGAAAACATCCAAAAATATTTAAATAAATGGTATTCTATTATTGTTTAACAGTGCGATTAATCAAGATTAATTTTTTTAATCGCTTGACAGCCCTACTAAATTTGTTCCACACTGGCCTTTGATATAATTGAAATGGAATATAATGGGACAGATGCTTTATTCTGGCTCAGGTACATTTCATGAGGGGATGAACAGGGTAGAGGCTTTAATCTATACTTCATATTTATATCTAATATTTTGGGTCTGGCTGGGTGTGTGGCCAGCCCCCACTGTAAATTAGAGCACCTTCAGGGTGCTGTAATTTATGCCTGGGTTGCCTCTGGCCTCATAGGAACCACGAATAAAACAGTTATTGTCTGAGGAAAACTAGTGGCATTTTTTATGAGTGAATCACATACTTTGAATCTTTACACGCAGGCTGCCAGAATGGAATGCATAATGAATTTACTGCTCACAGAGTTTCCACTAATACCGAATCTTTCTTACCATTGGAGCCAGAGGTCAGGCTTCATATTAGTGGCTTACGCAATGATTACTGTAAGTTTTTATTCTCTTTCATTATTTGGGAGCTTGAATTTGTAGCAGAGAGTGGGAACTTTTGTATCTTATGTCTTAAGATGGGTAGCTGAAGTGTGGCCCTTACACCAAATGTGGCCCATGGAGTTCTACAATGAGGCCTATGGCTAATCTCATTTTTCTTACAGGAGTGCAGCCTGTGAAAACTATAGGTCCTAATATGTAATTCCAGGCTGCTTGGATGAAAATGGAGCAGACTGCATGCTGGGAATTATAGTCTCCGTGGGTAATGCCTCTGTAGTCGTAGTAATTATAATAATACCTAGTTCTTATATACTGCTTTTTATCTGTAAATCTCAAAGCATTTACAAAGGGGATAAGTATCATTATCCCCAGTTAATAAAGTCAAGTGCAGAAAAGGTGTTATTCCTGGGCTCATAGCAATTTACCTATGGGCCAATCCTTCTATTGGGCAAAACTTGAAATCTGGTTCTATTCTGAGATTTAACAGAGGTACTTTGTTGTTCATATGATATATACATTTGGGGGCAAAATTTCTCCAAGGCCTTTAGCCGATCTTTAGTAGTGCACATGCAAAATTACACAGGAATGTACATATGCTTGCACTCTGCAACTGCAAATATCTGGGCAATCACTTTAAAAATTCTAGCAATCATGAACATGTAAATGTTAGAACTTGCACTTGCAAAACTATCTCGTCACTGTGTTTTTTTGTGGATGAACATGAAAACATTTGCATGTGTGTATTAGACTAGTTCACTTATACCTGTGCACAATGTGCACAATTTTGCTGATGCATAAGTTGAGTTTGGGATTCTACCCTGGTTATTTACATAGGGTTACCATATTTAAAAAATAAAAAAAGAGGACACTTCACGGGGCCCCGGTCCCGCCCCTTTCCCACGCCGTTCCCCGCCCCAACTCCGCCCATTCCCCGCCCCTTCCCCAAAGTCCCCGTCCTAACTCCCCCTGCTCCCTCCCAGCCACGCGAAAAGGGCTGCCCAAGTGCTACCGGCTTCACGGTTTGCTGGGCAGCCCCCAGACCCTGCACCCCTGGCCGTCGCTTCCTCAGCGCAGCTGGCGCCTGCGACGGGACGCACCCTGCCGGGGGCGCA